TGGACCAGGAACAGGCTCCAGCAGGCCCAGGGCAGTGATTGTCCCTCTGTTCTTGGTGCTGCTGAGGCCTCACCTCTAATCCTGGAGTCAGTTTTGGGTTCATCATGACAAGAAGGACATGGAGGGGCTGGAGTGTGTCCGGGGAAGGGAACGGGGCTGGGGAAGGGTCTGGAGCCCCAGGAGCAGCTGAGGGAGCTGGAAAGGGGCTCAGCCTGGAGCAAAGGAGGCTCAGGGGGCCCTTGTGGCTCTGCACAAGTCCCTGGCAGGAGGGGACAGCCGGGGGGGTCGGGCTCTGCTGCCAGGGAACAGGGACAGGAGGAGAGGGAACGGCCTCAGCTGGGCCAGGGGAGGCTCAGGGTGGACACCTGCAGGAATTTCCCCATGGAAAGGGAGCTCAGGCCTTGGCTCCCTTGGCAAAACCAGGGAGGTTTGGAGTGCCCATCCCCGGAGTGTTCAGTGAACACCTGGACGTGGCACTCGGAGCTCTGGGCTGGGGACAAGGGCAGAGATCAGGCACAAGTTAGACTCGATGGTCTTGGAAGGCTTTTCCAACCTTGAGGGATTTCACAATCAGCCATTTACCCACCACTGAAACCCTCCCACGACTCCAGGAGTCTCTGGCCCTGTACCAGAAGACAACAGTCCTTCCAGACAGACGAGTCCTTCCCACATCAGTGTAGCTCCAGGGAATTCCTCCTCAGGAACTGCTGGATTTTGATGTGTTTGGATGGCAGACAAGAAGAACGACTGGATAATTCTCCAGTTAGCCCTGGGGAGTAAAAACGGCAATTAGGAGAGCAAAACTGGGGGTTGGGGGAATCAAACTGGGGTTTGGTGGGGTGAAATCTGGGTTCGGAAGGTGAAAATAAGAGTTTGGAGGGTGAAATTTGGGTTCTGGTGTGAAACTGGGGGTTCATGGAATGATATTAAAGTTTGGAGGGTGAAAGCGAGGTTTGAGAGGATAAAGCAGGGGTTTCGTGGGGTGAAATTGGAATTTGGAAGTGAAATTGCAGTCGGTAGACGTGAAATTGGATTTTGGGGGGGAAACAGGTGCGAGGGGATCAAATCGGAGTTAGGTGGGGTGAAATTAGGGCTTGTGGGTTGAAATTAGGGTTTGTTGGCACAAAATTAATGTTTAGTGGGATGAAAATAAGGGATTAGGATATAAATTCAGGATCTGGTGGAGTGAGATTCGTGCTAGGAGGAAGAAATTGGGATTTGGGATGTCAGAATTAGGGTTTGGGTGAATGAAATGAGGGTTTGGTGGGTGAAATTAGGTTTTGGGGGGGATGAAATCAGGATTTCAGGGGTGAAATGAGCGGTTGAAGTATGAAATTGGGGTTTGAAGGATGGAATAGGATGGGGTGATATGAGGGTTTGAAGATGAAATTGGAGCTTAGGGAGGGAAAATAATATTTGGGGCATGAATTTCAGTCCTGGACTTAGAAATGAGGGTTTGGAGTGCGAAACTGAGGGTTGGGGGAATCTGTCTGAGGTCTGGTTGTGAAATAAGAGGGTTGAGGCTGAAAGTGGAGTTTGGGTATTGAAATTACTGTTTTATTGGGGGAAATCAGGGTTTAGGGGAATGATTTATGGGACTGTGGGAAGCAGGAGCAGCAGTTCCAGCAGGGCTGTGGGACCCCGCCCTGCCCCAGGTTTCTCCCCGTTTGAACCTTTCTTTTTCCCACCTCCACTTCCACATGGAGAGCAGAGTAGGAGAAAGAGGAGGAAGCGCCCAGGGCCGCAGGTGGCAGCTAGATCGTCACAAAATACAGGGATTAGAGAAAGATCCTCACAAAACACAGGGATTAGAGGCGTTCCTGCTCCACGGGAGCCGGGATTCCCTGAGTACGTGAAGGCTCCTTTACCTCAGACCGAACTCAAACCTTTTCCCCATCTCCGAGCTCCAGCTCCCCAAGGGAACGTGGGACCGCTGGTGAAAGCAGGATAAACCACTGCAATGTGAAGCTTTAAATAGGAAATATTTCAAGCGATCTGGTGGTCCCGAGCGAGGAGTGGCCGTGGCCCGAGACAGTCCCTGCACCTACGCAGGGTTCCAAACCCGGCAGAAGGAGCGCGGGTCGGGCCCTGGGGAGCCTCAGAGAGCTGCGGGGGCTTCCCTGCATTCCCTGGACATGCACAAGGAAACGGAGAGGGTTAGACAGGCACTGAATACAGCCGAGCTCCCGCCTCTTCCCCCGCAGTGGCTTCAGCCCAGCCCGGTGGGTGCACTAGAGAGCCAAGGGGAGGCACAGGGAGCTCCGCTCTGCACCACAGCCCGCTTCACTCTGAGCCCTCAGGTGCCGCCGCACCGCCAGCTCTGCCGGGGACCGCCCCCCTCTCCGCGGAGACCAATCAGAGCCCGAATAAAGCTGATTGATTTTTGCCCTAGCCAATCACACTCTGCCTGTCTACAGCCAATCAAACGCCTGGGGACATTTTCTCGCCCAATGATAACCCAGGAGTGGAATTTGGGGGGAGGGCGCTCTCCTTCGTGAGCGGCGTAGGGACTGACCAATCAGAGCAAAGCGATGGGTTGACTAGTGACCAATGAGAAAAGGGGGCGGGGACTGAGCAACTCGCGAGATTTGGAGCGGTACGACGGGAAGTCACATCTAAGCGAGAGAGCCAATGGCAAAGGGCGGGGCGGGGCCGCAGTTCGATTATTGTAACTGGCAGGTAGGAGAGCCAATCAGAAGGAGAAAGTAAGTTAGGTCCAGTGTCCAATGGGTAGCGAAAATCCTCCCATGGTTGAACTGCCGCGATTGACAGGCACGACCGTCCAATGAGATCACCGCGCCCTTTCTAACTGCCCAATGAGCGAGGGGGGCTGGGAGGCGCGCGACAGCGGCAATTCCCGCCCCCCCGCGGGAGCACGGGGCTGGCAGGCAGAC